CCCCCAAATTACATAAGTCAGCTATTTATTTCTTAGCAACAAAAAAAAAAAAGTACACAATTCCCAAGCATTCCTGCAAGACTTGAGGCCTGAATGTAAACAGAAATCCAGATATCTAAAACATGTATTTTTTTACATGTATTTCCTCATTGTTTGCGAATTTGAAGATAAGGCCTTTACACACTTGTTTCTTTAGTGGGGGGGGGGGCGCGTTCCTTATATGTACTGCTATACAGGGGTAATCCCTTCCAATTCTGCTCTTGCTGGTCTCTTGGCACTGCAGCTCTCTCATTTATTCTACTGATCTTCCCGGCTTTGTCAGACACAAAATAAAGCTTATGTTCAACGTTTTAAAAATTTTAGATTTTTATGCCCGTGAAATGTAGGATAAGATATGGAATGGTTGACTTACTGAACAGGCATATTTATTTTACTATATAGTTATTACTCAGATTACATTTTTTTCAGATTATGATATGTGGTAGAAAAGTATAAATGTGCCCCCCCCCCGCCCCCTTTTTTTTAAAATTAAATATATTTAATTACACAGTTCTATGAAGAAAAGATCTGGCTTTTCATTTTTGTTTTGACATTTTATTAAATTTGCAATATTGCCAATCAGGGGTCCCCCCCAACCACTGGGCCGGGGACCAGAATGGGTCAGTGTTCTATTAGGAACTGGACAACATGGTTCCCTTAGGTGAGCATTTTTTTTGCGCTTGATTCAAACCAAAAACCTGGTCAGTGGTGCCAAAAAGGAAGGGGACAGCTGAATTATACATCTAATATAAGATCAAATGACCCATGGTGTCCCGTGTAGGCATAAAGTGAGCTTGGGGTTTCCTCAGGCAGTAGGTCCGGTCCTATGGGTATGACCAAAATCAAAATCTGGTCCCTAGGACCCAAAAGTTTGAATACCCTTGCTCTGTGAGGCACTTTGAAGCAACAGGAAAAAAAAAAAAATTTATTTAACATAATATACATAACAAAACGTGTCTCCTTGCATTAAAACCTATAAATTTTTATTTCAACATCCCATGAATCATATTTTTCATAAATTATAAAATAAAAAGTGCATAAAATAAAAGTTGCAATGGTCAAACAGCATCAATATCAACTAACATGAAAAAAAACATTCAAACTCTTGCATTGTTGGGAATGCTGCGAGCTGGTGAGGAGCTGATACATGTGGTCAGTAGGTGGGCCCAACTACAAACACAAAAAAAAGATTGCAGAGGTGGCACAACCAGATACAAATTATTGGAAACACTGACAGGGCCCCCCCCCCCCCCCTTTTTTTTTTAACTTTTCAATTTCAACCCTATAACATTGCCAGACACGTGAAACAACCATTTGCCAATATATATCTTTTAAAAAAAAACTATGAAGAAATTAACATTCTAATATTAGCAAATAATTTATCACAAGTTTGCACATGAAAATATTGGAATAATTAACAACAGCTTTTCTACCTGCGAGAAACATTGACTTCTCATGGGGTCACACAGAAAAAATAAATAAAGTCATTATGCAGAGATTAATTAACTTGGTTAACAATGTATAATTATTATTATTCATATTTAAAAAAAAAAATAGTTATTCAATCACTCCAAAGGGGGTTTAGTAACATACCAGCAGAATGAAATTATACTTCACACAAAGAATGCTGTTTAAAATACACCTTCCAATATTTGATAATACAATGTCAAACACAAGTAGTTGGCAGGGAAACAAAATAAATACATGAATATAATCATTCAGGTTATACAATTATTTCTGTTCATATAAAATTTACAATGATTTTTTTTTAAAAGTAATCTATGGGGTACATAATAAGTCTTGTAAAACAGGGTAGCCTTGGGTTGCCACCTACTTTTTAAAATTCAGGTTGGTTCTGAAATCATGTTTGTTGAATCTAAACTCGATTCCATTCAGTTGAGTCGGTCTTATTAAAACTGACCCAATTGTAAAGTTTTTAAAATTAAACTTATACTTTTTACTCTGGATAATTTCTTTCCTCCCAATTCACCGTAGCGTCATCCGATCCATGTTCACTTAGCCGAACCATGACAAACGCAAATGATATGCAAACGGAAATATGATAGGAATCGATCCTTTTGGTCTTTTTCTCTCCAAAAATAAATATTTGTTTGCTACTTGGTGGTATCCCATTAAACTTTTTGGCTTCACAAAAAGAAAATGCCAGAATCAATAAAAAAATAATTAAGTTAATTTTTATAATTGAGCCAGCAGACAAACTGGCAACATAGGAATTTTTTTTTTTTAAATAAGACCTCGCCACAGACACAAACAAAAATCTATTCTGAAAAAATAAGAAGGGGGGTCAGCGAGGATTGGTTGTAGTTTGATGGTAAACTTCCAGGCCAAGTCCACACAGGACTGTGTGTCTCTTAATGATGAATTTCACTCATTAATGAAGGATTTTTTTTATTTGCACCTGTATGTAAAACAAGGCTTGATCTGACAGCCCTTAGGGCTAAATTTTTTTGGTTAAAATACACACACCGTCAGAATGCATACACCAATAAATATACAGAAAACACACACTGACAGCACTAAATTCTGGTGGAAAAAAAAAAAAAACACCATAATTTTAGTGGGCCGTCCTGGTTCATTTAGTTCCACGTGCATCAAATTGACAAGGTGTAATTTATTTTTCTGGAATATAAAAACATTACTTTTGCTATAAATTATAAAGTGCGCATACATTAAATGAATCCAACTTTATTTTTCTTTCATTTCTTAGCTACTTTGTGACATTTTAAAGTAACTTGTGAAACAAAAACACTCACACACAAAAAAAAGAAAGAAAAGGGGAATCATTTTGTTTGATGTTAAGTAGCGTCTTGTCCAGGTATGCACTTGTTACCATCCATGAATGCAAGGCAGCCAAAACACAGTAAGGTATCTAAGCGATGTGGTGCCTGGGGTAAGCCCAGTCAGATCAGACCTTAACATCCCTTACCATACCCCAGTTTCTCATTTGAAATGGCAACCCGGGGGCGCACGGGGAGGGGGGTTGGCATGCGCCCGTCTTCCCCTGCCTAGATGCATCTCTGCCTGAACGTAAGGCACTTGACCATTTCTGTCTCTCCTTCTACAGGTAAGTTGTGTGAGGTAGGTGAACGTAACGTCAGGTAGATAATGACCACCACAAGTTTCATTGTCGACACGCTAAAAAGCTTTCCTTGTTGAAATAAAAAGAGCGCCATTAACAATGACAATGTGTACGAGTCTATTAACTACTGTCATCGTTCTGTCTTACAAAGAGCAACAAAAAGCATTTCATCTTCACTGACGGATGTACATTTTTAAAATGGGTTAGAAAAATTCTGTTCCATCAACCAATCAAGAGTTCAGCATTTAAAAAAAGTTTTAAAAATGGAGTCGTAGGTGGGCCGGCCTTGTTAAGCTGTACCCGATGGTTAGGGTGCTCATTATGTGAGACAATACATTTTTTTTAAAAAAGTTATTTTTTGGTTAATACATGTAACATCTAGCTTCAGTTGAAATACTAATCACTTTAGAAAAAATAAAATAAAAGAACATCTGGTAGAGGAGCAGGCCCCCACCACTGTGCTGCTCAACCAGCCTTAAACCAGGGCACGCTGCAAAGCAGCCTACACACAAAAATCCCCTCACCCCAGGGTGATACTTCATGCAACATACATGACAAAAGATTCAGTTGAACTATAGAAAGTCCTAGTGACCTAATGAAGAACTATTCATCTCTGATACATTTCTTATGTAAGTACCTGACACTAATGATGCTATAATTTATAAATGTTTCCCACAGCTAAACAACGTATGAATACAGGAAAGCTTTGGAACATCAACGAAACAATGGGAGATTTAAATACTTTTTAAAAAATTGCATAACAATTAAAGAGAACAAAAATTTATAAAAGACGCATAGCATTAATACTTAAACCTTTGAATGATCAAACATTTTATTTATTTACAATAATCAAATGGAATTTTAAGCCAATAAAATGTATTTGGATTGGGGATCTGGATACCATATCACTCTTGGCTTAACAGATAACATGTGGATTCACTACAGTTTTAGCTGTAAAGCTAAAGGACACGATATGCTCAAGCTTGAATTGGGGGACATGATACATCATTGAATGGTATAAAACCTTCTTCAATGAAGATAACCTGAAGGTCAGCAATGATATCACATGAAAAAACAGTGAAGCTAGCTCCCAGGGGAGGTTATTCTAGTACACTGGTGTATGTAAAGTCAGAGAAGAGACCCAAATTCATGGTGCAAGGTCAGAGAAGAGACCCCAATTCATGGTGGAAGGTCAGAGAAGAGACCCCAATTCATGGTGCAAGGTCAGAGAAGAGACCCCAGTTCATGGTGCAAGGTCAGAGAAGAGACCCCAGTTCATGGTGCAAGGTCAGAGAAGAGTCCCACTTTGTGCTTTAGCATGTGGTGTGCTGTAGATAATTTGACTCAGCAACCATAGAGAAGTAGGATACGCCGCTCCACTTGAACAATCATTTCTCTAAAACACCATTACCTGTGCAAGGGGGGGTCTCAAATAAACACTGACCAAAAAAAAACTTTCTGAGTTTTATCACAAGGCCTTCATTCTGTCACATTGTATATTTTGTTGTCTGCGTCCCCTTTAGGACACTTTGAAATTTTCCTCATTTAACCCTGATTGCATCTTGGCATTTGCGAACCCCATGACTTCACTGCATAGAAAACGTCAACTTATTTATGATCTTCTCCTCCTGCATGTTGGTCAATATCCATTATCCACACAGCCAGTGGCATAGTAATGTTGGGAGGTGTGGGGTAGGTCATCTACCCCTGGAATTTTTTATCATATTTAGGGGCATGACTTTTGACAGACTGCAGAGTTCTTTTTATCCTGGGTGGGGGGGGCAAAAAATCTTGGCCTACCTCAAGCAGCACCAACCCTAGCTGCACAGTGTACGCATGCACTGTCCCATAAAATATGACATCTGTAATGTTCCAGTCTCCACAACATATGCCGTAATCCTTGTGGAGGGCCCCAAGTCAAGTAATCCAATAAATAAATCCATTTTGGCAACCTGTCACATAGAAATAAATTAACTTCTCACAGGCCTCAACCTTTCGCCAGCGATTCTCAAACTGTTGTGCTTCTTCCCTAAGTGGTGCATTACATGGTACCAGGATGCACTCAGAGATTGAACAAATATTTTTCTTTTTTTTAAAATGAGAATGACAAAACACGCATGGTGGTACATGATTATTTCGAGTAATGCAAGTTTCAAGAAGTTTGAGAAACCCTGGCTTAACACACCCCTCCAAACCCGTCCGACCCCCCCTCCCAATCCCCACGCATCAGTACACATATTTACAGATGAGATCACAAATACCTTGTCACAAACAATGTGCACATTCACAAGCATTGACATTCGCACTGCACACAAGACACCCCGAAATCTTTTGACAGATACACATCCCGCACACAAGACACCCAGAAATCTTTTGACAGATACACATCTCATTACACATGCACATTTTGATGAAATCGAGTTATTCATTTAAGATTACACATGTAATTTATATAATCTTATTTCAAGTGTGACCACGAACTTTCAACGTTATCCCCCTCAAGAAATCCTGTTGATGAGAGAAACTAATTCCATAATGGGGTGTACTTTGGTCGGCTGAGCGTTGTGACCATCTTGTAGACCAGGGTCTGTCTACAATCTTCTATACACTTGTTCCATTATCCCAAGTCACTTGCTTCATTATCCCAAGTTGTCTATGGTAGAACAGCAAACACAAGGATGTAGGCATCTAGTTAAAAAGAAAGAAAAGTCCTAAAACTATGGTGACACAACTGTCCTAAAACTATGGTGACACAACTGTCCTAAAACTACGGTGACACAACTGTCCTAAAACTATGGTGACACAACTGTCCTAAAATTATGGTGACACAACTGTCCTAAAACTATGGTGACACAACTGTCCTAAAACTATGGTGACACAACTGTCCTAAAACTATGGTGACACAACTGTCCAAAAACTATAGTGACACAACTGTCCTAAAACTACGGTGACACAACTGTCCTTAAACTATGGTGACACACAACTGTCTTAAAACTATAACGACACCATTTTCAAAAAAACTTAGGTCAAATAACTACCCTGTTTTACAACATTTTACACTTGTAAAAAAAATCCCCAACTTATATCAGGAATCTCTCAAACTACTCAATCACAATGCTGGAGAAATGCCTCCGTTTGCCCTCTTATATAATGACAGTTTGATGAAACTGACACCTCATTTTAAAATACTCACAAGATCATCCAACACACACACACACGTGTACACAGCAAGGCCTGTGCTACAAGTTGTAGCGCGACCTGGTGAACCTCTCCTGGCCCTGGCAGTACTCATTGTAGATGAGCTTGAAGAGGAACAGGTGAAAGATGATGATGAGGAATGCTATGGACACCCAGAAGATTGTGGGAAGGCCTCCGAAGTGATGGCCGTGCTTGTGCAGAGCGATGACGTGGTGTTCATGGGCGGGTGCTGGGGAAACACATCAGTGGAAGGTTAATGATAAAAGAAGGGATCGTTTTCCAGGATAATTTAAAATAACCGTCTGATTTAAGCTACTAGAAACATAGGGCTGGCACAACAAAAAAATGACAAAACTGGCAACAGCCTCGTCACATCCGACATAATAATATTCTGATGGGTGTTAAGGTTTACCGGCAGCCATTTTAGTTGACCAATACTTCCTTCCCCTACTATCTAGCTCTTGGCTTTGTACAAATTTGAATCGTTTTACTTTCTGCCATCACACACTTTGATAAACCTGGCTGCTTGGGTCAGCAATTATTTTTTTGGCAAGCCAGTTCTGCCTACCTTCGTTAATTTCCTTGACATGAATCGCATGTTTCAGTTCTTCCATGTGCTGCTTGTCAGCCGTGATGTACAACACAGATGTGGCCGGGTCGGTCAGCTTCACAGGAAATTGGTGGCGTTCGTTACTACAAGAAAAGAAGAGCGATTCTTACAGCCATTAGTTCATAATTTTTTATTTTTTTTATTTTTTTTAAATCGATTTTTGAAATTAAAAAAATGTATTTCAAAACCCCATTCCAATAAATTTGGTCACCTTTTCATGGATACACCAAGCATGGCAAATAATATCAAAAGTTTTTACAGAAGAATTTTTTTTAAAAAAACCTCCTTTATCAATTATGGAATGAAAAGTAATGCTGTGTACCTCAGACTTGGCCAGGTTTTTGTAAGTTGGACATGAAAGAAAATAGCCACACTTGACTTAGATATTTCCGATGTGCCAGAAGAAATGCACATTTGTGCAAGTCAGCTTCATCCTTTCATGATTTCATTTGCAAACTGAAGGGATTTTGAACGGATTTTCATTGCCTTAAAGGTCCTTGAGGCCAAGAAGACAAAGGGTGCTGGCATTTAAAATGTTACTTAAGAGGTACGGTAGACTGGCAAGTTAATGTTTAACCAGAGAAGAATAAGGACAATGGCGTGTTGTTTTACCTGAAAGGTTCAAGGACACAGGAATGCAAGAGATTTCAACTGAGTGGACATAGGACACTGGCATGGGAGATTTCAACTGAGTGGACATAGGACACTGGCATGGGAGATTTCAACTGAGTGGACATAGGACTCTGGCATGGGAGATTTCAACTGAGTGGACATAGGACACTGACATGGGAGATTTTAACTGAGTGGACATAGGACACTGGCATGGGAGATTTTAACTGAGTGGACATAGGACACTGGCATGGGAGATTTTAACTGAGTGGACATAGGACACTGACATGGGAGATTTCAACTTAGAGGAATCAGGATACTTGCATTAGAGATCTTTCCTGAGAGAACAAAGGGACACAGGCAATTTAGATCTTTCCTGAGAGAACAAAGGGACACTGGCAATGTAGATCTTTCCTGAGAGAACAAAGGGACACTGGCAATGTAGATCTTTCCTGAGAGAACAAAGGGACACTGGCAATGTAGATTTTACCTGAGAGAACAAAGGGACACTGGCAATGTAGATTTTACCTGAGAGCACGTAGACACTGTCACATAAGATGTTAATTGAGAGGACATATGACATTTAAGATTTTGACACATTTGATTTACCTGAAAGGACATTGGATATAGGCACATGTGATTTTACCTGATAGGACCTAGGAAATCATGATCTGAGGTTTTACATGAGGGGACAAAGGACACTGGCTTGTGAGCTTTACCTTAGAGGACATAATACACTGGCATTTAGGATTTTACAAAAGAGGAGACATAAGACACTGACACATGAGATTTTACCAGAGAGGACATAATACACTGGCATTTAGGATTTTACAAAAGAGGAGACATAAGACACTGACACATGAGATTTTACCAGAGAGGACATAAGACACTGACACATGAGGTTTTACCTTAGAGGACATAAGACACTGACACATGAGGTTTTACCTTAGAGGACATAAGACACTGACACATGAGGTTTTTACCTTAGAGGACATAAGACACTGACACATGAGGTTTTACCTTAGAGGACATAAGACACTGACACATGAGGTTTTACCTAAGAGGAACAGGGGGGTCCAAACAACCGGCATCACAGCCATAGTACGGCTTGTCATTCCTGTCCAGGGCCACAAACAGGGTGGCCTTGTTGTCCTCACCCACCACCACGGAGATATTGACATGGGTGTTGTTCCCGTAGTTGATGCGCCGGAAGTGAAGGTCGCGGTGCAGGTCGCTGGGATGAGAGGTCATCTCGAGATGATCTTTGTGAAAGTGAAGCGGGCCGAGACTCAGAATCATGGCCTGCATAATTCCCTCGGAACCTTAACACAGAAAAGGTTAAAAAGTAATTTTTAAAAAAAACTCCTAACAAATTTTTACAAAATATAAATATTTATGGGACAGGTGTTTAAAAAAAATAACTGGATCAAGATGGCATTTCTTTATAGTTAAATGAATGAGGAAGCTCAGAAACTAGGTGCAACCCATTACCATTACATAGAGCTTTTTCTGAATTATAGATATGTACAAAAGAAATGACTTCATTTCAAAGGATCCTTCAAAGTAACTATCATTCTTTGTTATTTTAAATACTCTTGAAATTACCCATGGATAATTACTGTTGAAATTACACTTGGATAATAACTGACAAAAGTACCATTGGATAATTACTGTTTAAATGACCCATGGATTTGAATGGATTTGTTCGTAACAAATTGTGTCTGCTTTGACCTAAATGTGTCTGCTTTTAGCTAAATGTATACATACCATTCTAAATGCGCTGTTACTGACCTGACTGTGCTATAACGCTACAGCCTTGTTTCTCCAGTGTTATCATCCATGTGGTTACCACCCTGGCAATTTGAGATTCATCCTCGGGGTCAATCCACAATGTTCCAGACACCCTGAGGGGAAAAATATCCACAATATCACTACAAACCATGCATAAACTTTAATCTTTTTCTAATCTTTTCAAAGTCTTTTAAAAAATTAATTTCCGAACTCAACATTAAATTCATGTAAACTTTGTAGTCCGAGTCAGTCCTTTTGAAATTGATTTTTAGGATTTCCTAAACACCGAACTCTTTCAGTGGTCACTAGTTTTTATCCATCCTATTTGCCACGCAGTTATATCGGTGTCAGTGGCTACCTGTTTCTCATCAGTCCGCATGGCCTCTTTGCTCTTTCAGGACTTCAAAATAAACTTTTAAAATAAATTTTGAAAACGTTATCTAAAATTTTTAAATTAAAAAAAAAAAAAATCATTTACAGAACAGCACATATTTTGTTCTGTTACGCAGTCAAGAAATGAAATCTTACAATGAAGAGTGGCCTTCGTAGCACCTGTCAGGGTAGTACAGGATCTTCTCGATGGCCAGTTTATCCTCGGGAGTGGACCTCACATTGTGGAGCGGGGCCGGGGCATTGCTGAGCACATAGTAAATGGTCTTGTTGATGCGGTCACCGTTCAGCGCACCGGTCGCCTTGGAGTTGCTGATTGAGAACCCACTGAACCAAAGCTGGACACAAACAAAAACTCAGAACATACGGAGAGTATCACTGTATCTATATAAGAACATCTTTTAAAATTGTCTTTATTTTATTAATTGCATTAAAGTTTATATTTATCTTTTCTTTTTTTTTCTAAATGACTATAAGGTAATAATTATTTGATGAAAGACTATAGTAAAGTAATATTTATTTAATGAATGAATATAGTATAAGGTAATAATTATTTAATGAATGACTATACGGTAATAATTATTTCACGAATGACATAAAAGGTGATATCGTCCTAATACATTACCTTTCCCCACACTCGTGCGTGCTCTTGTTTTAAAAACTTTTCATTTATGTTGAGGCCTAGTTCCATTTCCTGATGGAGTCAATAAGAAAAGGTCATGGGTCAATATAAAATTGTGGCATAAAATGAAAATACTACAAGAAACCAAAAAAAAAAAAAAAGTTTAAAGTTTATCACACAGACAAAATGTTCAATCATTATCTCACCCCCTTGGCTTGGTGTACACTATCAGGTAAATACTTGGCAGCCTCTTCCTTGAGATACGGTCTTGAGTAGTGGACAGCTGTTAAAATGTGGAATTTGCTCGTACTGTCGGCAAGAATTCATTTAAAATAAGGATTTTTTAAAACAAATATACAGAAACTTAACATTTCTAAGAAAGAACTTCAATTAGCCACCATGTAACGACCAAATCCGGCAGGTACTGGTTAAACCAGCCAGACCCAGCCACTCGACTTGCTGTTTAAACTTGCTATACAGAAAGCAGAGATCTCACCATTTCAAAGAAAATCTAGCGAGGAACAAGACCAAGGAAGATAATTTCCTTTTTTTTAAATCAGTCGGGTCAGGAGTATTCATTATTATAAAAGCTGATTTAATATTTTGTTTTGAAATGTTCATGAGTAGTTCTGATAATTTACAGCCGTTTGAATTTTTTTTTAAATTTACACAACACGAGCCTTGGAAATCTCTTTGAGTTAAGATAAATTCTAAAAGGCCACAAAAAAATATTGTTTGAATCATTTTTTAAAAAAGATTTTCTTTTATAGATGAGTTTAAACGCGCTAAATAGTAGAAAATAATTAAAATCAAGTGTAGATTAACACTCTATGAATCCAAAGGATTTGACTTGGAGGTAGACAAAACTTAACTGGCTTATTTATTTTTTGCATTAATTTTGGAAAATATATTTTGCACAGTCTATCTTTGCCTTATACATTTTAATAAATTTCAAATTATCTTCCACTTTTTAGCGCCTTTAAACTCATCTTTAAAATGAAGTCTTTATTTACATCATCAACTTTAGCATCGGTGCCTATGACTAAAATAACAACAACAACATTAAGTGCAATCAGAGTTTGAAATAAATAGTTTTTTTTTTTTTCTATCTGATTCTACCCTGTCGTAGCATTTACCTGGAGGGTCCAACTTTCACCATACTAGATTCTAGAGTCACAGTTGCTATGGCTACGGGGATCACCATTTCCGATTTGGTGACAGGCACCAGGCCGGAGTAGATTTTATACACCACAGCTTCACCGCTGCTGCTGGAAAAACTGACGGGAGAAAGAAAAGAAAACAAGTTAAATTCTACTGGTGGAATGTTTTAACTATTTTTACACAGGGCTATTTGAGCCCTCACAAGTGTTTCACACCAAGTGTGTGTATATTAACAACCGATCCTAATTAACTGGATAGATTCATAAAAATATACAAATCCAATAAAAAAAGTCAACAGCAACTCACGTGGCAGACTCAACTTTAACCCCTTCCCAGCCAGACGCTCCAACTTGGTCAAGCTCCACGGCAATGGTTTGGTGCTGAAAGTAAACAAACAGGAAATGCTTAAGACGACATTCTCACTCATTTCTACAGCATGCAACCTTGACGCTAAACATTTAAATACGACTCGTACCGCGATCAAAGGCTGTCAACCTAATTATGGCCCATGGACACACCCTTGTGACTTTCACACAACACCAAAGCACGACAGGCCCCGAGAAAAAAAAACGAAAGTTCTTGACTCACCCATGTCTGACCAGGTTCAGGCACTCTTGGTTTTCTGAACTTCCCAGGAGGGATGTTCTATTAACAATGTTTAATTGGCCCTCCTCCCAACCTGGCCAACAAATGGCCAAGCAATAAGAAGGGTGTATTCAAATTTATATTTGGATTCTTATGATTAAAATAAAATTCGTGAGAATAGAGAAATTTCGTTAAGAAAATGGATATCTGTGATAGAAATGAAATATATCAATACAGTAATGCCTCAAAAATTGTGGGGGTTACGTTCTGAGACCCCCACCCCATGCCAAATTTTCTTTAGAAATAGGATTTTTATGTTTTTTAAAGCTTAAGAAACCTTTCACGCACTTTCATACACCTTCCCAACAATTTGATTGATCTTTCTGACACTCGTATAAAACCTTTTCTCACACTTTTATAAACCTTACAATCACTTCCTATACTATTCAAGTTTTAATGAAAGTAATATTTTTTCAATTTGTGGGCTAGAAAATTATAATTTTAACAAAAAATAATTAAAATAATTTATATCTATTAATTTGTATAATGGATACTGCAAAAATCCTGCAAAATTTTGAAAAATCCGCAGAACATATCCTAGGAGAAAACTAGAGAAGGTGTGAGGATGTGAAATGTGAGGTAGCAAGATATTACGGTATCTATATATTTCTATACATGCAAGTCTGTTAATGAACCTTGTTAGACACTCCTGGTGTCAACAACAATAGAAACATTTATTTATTTATTTTTTTATTGATATTACTTACTGAGGGGTTGTTAATCTGCAAGTCTTGGACCAACAACGCAGGTCTGGACCTATGGGCGTAAATCTGTGATGACACAGATATGCAGCCAGATGACTGGGGACGCGCAATGAATAATCATTAGAGGGACAACATTGACATAGGCCAGCTCTAGGTGTACAAATATCAGATGAGTGGTGATTAGTGATTACAGTTTAGTTGATAAATATGAAGACTAGCAAATGGTGGTGTGGTGTAGCCCCCCCCCCCCCCAAAAAAAAACAAAAAATAAAAAAAAAAAACACCCCCCAAAAAAAAAACCCAAAAAAAAAAAAAAAAAACCTATAACAAAGAAAATACAATTTTATAGATATCAGCTCTTGTAAAACATGTGATTAAAGTGTATGATTTCATGGCTTCAACAATTCTTTTGTATGGAAGGGATGGGGGGAGGAGGGGAGTCCATCACCAAGAATTTGCAATTTCTTTTTGAAAAGAATTTCCCAACAAACGGCATGAAACAACACTGCTCTGTAAGATTTTACACACAAGTCCAGTACTTACAGTTGCCTGCACTTGCAGCCTGTGAGCAGTACCTGACAGGACATCAAGGACTGTTGTTTCTGAAAAGATTGAGAGGTTTATTGAACATTTACACGGCCTAATTTGTTACTCAATAATCAAAGATCAAAGACGGCGAGGAGGAGGTAAGTCTGAGTGAAATATCTCAACCATCCAAGTCACACGACAGCGTGTCTCTGCGCAAAAATAGCTTTTGTCACACCAGGTTATGTGATAGCTGCTTGAATGAGTCCAAAGTTTTATTTTTTAAATAACCCTCTCATTTCTTTTGCGATGACCCTCTCATTGGTTATGAATATTTCCAGAAGAGCCAGGGGTTACCTTTAAAAGAACCATCCAGGTGAGTTTGCACTATAGGCCAGAATTTCACGGGTTGTGAAAGAGCCCTATACAACCGAATAAAGAGCCCATTGTCAGAACCCATTGCAGCAGCCACATTTCCATTACCTGAAATAAAATTGTTGCAATGTATTACCACAGTAAATATCATAACTTGTTCAATTAATATTTTCTTTTATTCTTTTCATCAGCAACAAAATGAAGTCAAAGCTGAGCCAATATATTTCCTTAAACATAACAAGGCTAAAGCCAGTCAGCCTCCCGCTGGTGCAGGTAAATACTGTTTAGAGATAGAGCTATATTATCTTTATGGCATCTGCAGATGCTCTGAGCTCTTGCAGAGCCACACTGAAGGTCCATAGACCTATGGTTTTGCCAGATCAATTTAACCTAGCCAATAAAAAGTTGAACTATTTATTGACTTCATTCGGCTTGAGCTCAATCCCCCATTTATATATAACTCTAGGCATTAATGTACACATTAATTTAACCTTGCTATTTTTGTATCTAACAATTTAACCAGACCATTTTTGTACACACCAGTTTAACCTGGCCATTTTTTGTACAAAACAATTTAACCTGGCCATTTGTGTTAACATCCATGTAATGCAGCCATTACTGTACACATCAATTTATCCCAGCCATCATTGTACTCATCAATTTTAAAATGGTCATTTCAGTATACATCATTTTTAACTAAGCTGTCACTGTTATAAATAATAGTGGGGAGGTTTAAGGGTTCAATCAGCGACTATTTTTATTTAAACGTTCATAATAATATCCAAAAGAAGACATATATGATTGCAAAGAAATATGATACGCTCTTGGAATCATGTCGCTCGAATCGCAATTCCTATAATATATTCACAACATTCAAAATATTCAATTCAAAAATCGTACGTTCAAAATCTTGATTACAGTTTTAAAATGGCTACCCTTAAAACAAAACTGCTGTTCCCACATGACCCCATCAAACACTTTGACTGCCCCGTCATATAAGTCCCAATACTCTTTTTTTATACAGAATATTAACTATATCAGTAGTCTCCCATCAGTGGTTACACCTTCCTACTGATATCCGCGACACTAACTACCCCCTTCATAAACAAAACTCCTGTGTCCTCCACATACCTACGTATGCCAGTTTTTGGTTGGATGTGGCGTGTTCAAAATCTCCCGACGTGAAGGCATCCAAATTATCTATTTTTGATTGGAACTTAACAATACTTTGAGAAAGGCACTCTCCGTGAGGATCTGTGGAGAGTTACAAAAGTTGTAGGTTAAATGAAAAAATCTAATTCTCTTTGGTGGCATACCTCATTGATATCACTGGGATAATTTCTAAGATGACGGGAATCCGGCCTAATATCTCTAGAATGCACTTTTAATACTCAACCATACTGATCTGGCCAGATATTTTTTTTCTAGATTCATCCCTGGAGAAATTTATAGTTCTGATAATACCGGTACAAATTTTACCAATAAAATATGATCAACTAAAGGTATATATTTCTGTAAGTTGATGCCTTATTGCGATGAAAGTTTTTTGGCGTCAGGTAGTGGAGCAGCATAACTAAGGAAATTACCTATATCTGTAGCTGAAGACTTCTGAAGATGAAAGATGTATGGAGTCAGGTAGTAGAACAACACAAGTAAGATGAGAAGACCAATGAGAATTTTCCTTGACCTGTGAAAGAAGAACAAACAGAACTATTAATATGCTGCAGCAGTTTTAAGTGTTTGAGCCAGGCACAATTAACTAAGCTGTCTCTTCTTCTCAACAACAACAAAAAGAAACAACATTAAAAAAAAAAATCTTTTTATATTTAGTGTTAAAAAATTTTACTTTGAGAGTGACTAATCTAAGAAAGACACTTTTACAGAAGTTAATGGTTTATGTTTAATAAAGAACTTAAGTTTATTTTTAGATCCATTTTTTTCTTGAAATGTTATTAAGTTTTCTATTTCAAACATCGAGGATGTGCATCACTAACAGAAATTCCCTTACAATGATCATTGACACAAGTAAAATTAAGGTATGAACTGTTAAAAATACATACACCTATGTTAACGCATATTAAAAGTTGACCATTAAGAATTGTTCTGAGAATGTTATTATGATTTTTTTTGGAGTATTTTAGTCTGTATTTAGAATATTTTTTGGTCATGAGTTGTAGGTCATATGGATAGCTGTGAGTCGATAGTAGTTCTGATGGATAACTGTGGGTGAATAGTATTTCTGATGGGTACCGATGAGTAAACAGTATTTCTGATGGGTACCTGTGAGTAAATAGTATTTCTGATGGGTACCTGTGAGTAAATAGTATTTCTGATGGGTACCTGTGAGTAAATAGTATTTCTGATGGGTACCTGTGAGTAAATAGTATTTCTGATGGGTACCTGTGAGTAAATAGTATTTCTGATCGGTACCTGATAGTAAATAGTATTTCTCATGGGTACCTGTGAGTAAATAGTATTTCTGATGGGTACCTGTGAGTAAATAGTATTTCTCATGGATAACTGTGGTTGCTTGAAGTTTGAATGGCAATAAACATGTCAGAATGTTTATATGTTGGGAGCATGAGGATATTTGGCTGTGTGTGTTTTTTTATTCTGAGAGCGGCAGGAGCGTTAGTTCAAAGTTATTTGTCAAAGAGTTAGTTGTCATAGATTTGAACACTCATCAAGTTGTTAACTGTTCTTTGGACTTTGTAGACTATGACGTCAATTTCTGTACTTTGTGAATATAGAAGGAAATTGGACAGTTGGTCAGTTTTTCGTAATTAATAAGCCGTGTGTGGATAGCAAGTGGCAGAAATATCCCCTAGAGAAAACTGATTCATGGAACTGCCTCAGAATACAGGAGTTTGTGTCCTTGACAATTATTAGTTTTAATCCAGATTCTTCTGAGATTCATCTTATTGAGCTGGGCCCTTTATCTATTTACAGACATTTAATACACCTTAAAATAGCAGAAATAAAATTATTAACTAGAAATTACGGCTTATTGAACTTTAAAGGTAAATATAGAAATACAAATAGCATTTTTCAACAAAAAGAACAAAGCCACTGAAAAAGAGCTAATGACATAATGAAACATGGGAATGAATTACCTATAGTCACTATCTTGAATATATTCACAGGCCATACCCCTTTTGTACTCTCAACGTATTTTAAAATAAGCTTAAAGACTCACACTGTTGAAACCTAGGTTAAAATGAACATAAAAATGCTTGACTTTCTTTTTTAACATTTGTTTAAAATTTAGGAATAGTTCAATGAATTGGTGTTAAATAACAAATAATTTATTTTGCATTTTTTCCCTCTAAAAATTTCCACAAATAAATAAAGCTTAGTGAAATTGAAACATTGTTTTATTTTTTTTTTTTTTTTAAATTCCCACATGCAAAATTGTAATTTAAACTACGAGAAAGTTTAATACAATAATATTAAAACATAAACTACAACAAAAGAGAATTTGCTTTTTTTTCTTTTTTTTTTTCCCACTCATTTCACAAAATCTAATGAATTAAAGAAAATTTATAATGCTTGATGTGTTGTTATACAAAACAAAATGTTGAAAGTTGAGTTAAAACAACATAAAACTTAGAAACAAAAATTAATTCAAAATGTCTACTCACATAAAAAATTTTTGGCGGGATTGATGTTTTAGTTTTTTAACAGCAAATGGATAGTTAGAACAATATCCTCTCCTATAAAATTTATGAAAATTTGGCAAATCTATTTTTTAATCTCATATTTGTAATTTATAAAATAATTTGTGATTAATATACACCATTCCTTTTACTAATTTTGAGCATAAACTTTCAGGAGCTAAAGCTAATATTTTAAAGTCTCCAATTACTCAATTTTACTGCATCCTGTATCTTTATGCCTAAGACACAACAAACTAATATTGAAATGGATATAAATGCATTTCATTAATTACACAGCTTCTAATATATTTTTTGAAGTCTCTACTTGTAACAAGTTACTAGGCAAGCAGTAGTTCTTTCATGAGGATATTATTTTCTATTGTAATATCAAGTAATGGTGCCCTAAGAGGACACACTGTGCACTGGGATATGTAAAAAAAAACATTCTAGGGATCTAAACAATACTCTGTTGTTTTGTTGGGTTTTTTTAAAATCAAAAGCATTAAAAGCAGGCTAATTAAATTTGGATTGAAGTGTGTCGGTCTTCAATAAAGTAAAGGAGAATATTAAATTTGTATCAGGAATGTGCGTTGCCGAAGGAAGATTCCAGATTTTAATTTGCATAGGATGTACTTTTTGGGTCAATTTCTGAGGTATTTTTCTTATATATTACACTCATATTACACGCTTATTGTTTAGAGAGCATCTTGACTTACATCTCCACATATTTTTGCATGCAGCACTATTTTTTGTTAAAATTATTCAAACTATGTTTTAGAAATAATTATCAAAATAATTACATGCTTTTTGGTTTTTGGTGTTTGCATAGGTTGCATCATTAAGGCCTTTTGAAAACAGATACACTGTGCTAAGGTTTTGTAGTGGGTTCTAAATTGAATTATTTAATTAACATACACAGTTATCCAGAAATAATACCAGTATTTCAAATGTTCATTTCCAAACAAAACACACATTTTAAAAAATTTTAAGTCTCAAACATCAATTAACAAGCATTAAGTTTAAGAAGTACTTTTAATATTTCAAAGTCTTTAAGTAATAGCACAACTGCACACTCTTAATAAATCCCCCAGATAACATCACCAGACAATACCTAACATGGAATCCACAGAGAAAAGGGAAGAGCAGACCTGCCAACCTGCAAAGAAAAAAAATCTGTAGGGGGGTTGCATGCAGGGAGGAAGTGGGGCCGCTGCCCCCCCCAGGGAGGTGCACCGTGGTGGGGTGGTTTAAGATCTATATACTAATGCACACGCCTTTTTTAGTAAATAAAGAAATATAAAGTTACCTCCAATGACTTTGAAGGGTCCATAGAACACCACAGAACATCAGTAATGTTTATATACAGATATATACAGTACAGAACATCCATTTTATTTACATATGTACACACACAGGCTGCTAAGACTCTTAGTAAGAGTTCAGTATTCCAGCGTATCCCTAGTGATAGTGTCCTTTTTGCACTTGTCCAACAGCTCTTTCCACTTTGGATAACTGAAGGTTAGCATTGCAGTTGATTTTAGTTACAAGCAAGTTAGAAAAAGTATAAACTTTCATGCTTGCCCTTGTTTCATTGTAATTTTTCTTTACAATGACAATTTTCTAGCATTCTGTAAGTCTGGAAAAATTTCTTTGACTCTGGCATTAAAATTAAAACGATCGGAGTTGGCTAGGGCTAGAGAAATATTTCCTTCACTTCAAGCCTTCAATTTTTATTAATATCATTGATCCATGACTTTCAATAGATTTAACCATTTAATTAAGAAAATCTTAACCAAAAAAAAACCTGAATTATTTTTTAGCCTTGTAAAAAGGATGAATCGTGATCGGATCAATTGATTGAACAATGATTTGGAGATTGCGGTAAAAACAAGTCAGTGTCTACACGTCAGGCGACTGGACAAATAGTGCTGGAGATAGTCATCCGGTGGGCGTGCCACACTTTATAAAAAAACATTGTCACTTTTTATCCAATTGTTCATTATTTATACCAGCAATGGTTGTATCATTTCTTTTTTATAATTGAACATATTTCTTTTTCGTGTAAATGCCCAGACTATCTTGAATTTGTTGAAATGAAGTACGTAAACTCTGATAGACAATTAGCGGTCACACGACAAGGCTGACGGACAATTATCTTGGGCAACTGTTACGGTGGTCATGTGACTTGGTCGAATAAACACTGGCCGGACGAATATCTCGAGAATTTATTTACTTATTCATCGGTCGCCGGACATGTAGACACTTCGTAAAAACAAATTTAACACTTCCTGTCATACCCGATTTTTTTTTGGTAGCTTTCGGATTTTTATGACGGGTGAAAAATTATAAAGTTCGAAAAATCGGAAGTTAAGGGGTTTGTCGGAAGGTCGGAATGAGGGGTAAAAAATCCATATAATTCCAACAAAATCGGAAGGGTTGGCAGGTCTGGAAGAGAGGAAGGCCAAATAATACATGGAGACGCGAGCTAGAGACTAGATGACTAGAGGCAGACAGACACACAAATTATGGGATACACTTGGAAGCAACTGGAAAGAAAAAGCTCAGGACCAAGATGAATGGAAAATTAGGGTTAGTAATAAATGAATAAGGAACTCGCATTTTACAAAAATTATAATTTAAAAAGTGCTTAGGTCCATGAATATAAAATTGATGTAGGTTTCATTTTAATTTAAATTTTGCTTTATTATAATTATAACTATGCATCCAGTTTTTATAATTTTTAAAATGTATGTTTAAGACCAGAGTACGTTAAAAGACATGAAAAGTTTTTAAAACTGGAGTTCAAACCAAGAGGAGGTATGAACGCTCTATCAATGTCAGTAGCGTCAGTCAGTGAATGTGGAAAGTGGGAGCATTTATTAATCTGAGTAATTCTTAGCTTTGCCATAACAATTTTGAATTGAGGAGGGAGAGTGTGATTCCGTTGTGAGGCTTTTATGTTTTTCCTTCATTTTAACAATCTCTAAGCACCATATAATTTTTAAATAGGGACCAAGTAACCTTTTAAATGAGTAACTAAATTAGTAATTTTTAGCTCTCCACTGGACTCTAGGTTTTACAACTTACCTGCCTAACGTATTGAAAGTGTTGCTAGCACTTTGAAGTATTGACTGCCAGCTCATCTCTCGTTTTTTGCACTGCAGCGTTAATCGGTAAACGAGTTGTCGACACACATATGTCACGCCATTCCTCATTTCATTTCATAATTTTGAATAAACAGATGACTGTTAGACTGTTTCGTTTACATATCTAAACGAATGTATACATGTCACCGGAAGCTAGAATCGTTAGCACATCCTAGTAGTTTCCCTTGTTTAGCTATACTTACTGTAGAAGTACTGATGATTGGTACAGCATTTGAAAATTTAAAAACAGGATCGCACCAGATAAGTATTAATTAATTAATTAATTAATTGTGTGTGTGTGTGGGGGGGGGGACGGGGGTTAAGTCAATTATTATGTGTGGTATTACAGTTTTAGAATATATTTGACCCCCCATCTTTCCTAACCACTGCGTGTAATAAATTCGATGCATATTTAATAGTGGAGGTTGGTAGGTACTCTTAATGCCAATGCTTGCTGACAAAACACAATATAATAAAAATTATTAGTTTAGACGCCCTAAAACGTGTTGTCTTTTTTTTTTATTTCTATAAATTTCTTTAAAGTCGTTACGTAAACGAAGTATGTGCACCCCATGAAGCCAAAAGCTTCAAAATAAATGTATAAGAAACTCAAATGTTTAGTTATTTTTGGTCTCTAGTTTTTGAAAACATTTTATGAACAGACGTTCTTTGCTTAACGAATTTTAAAAAAAATTAGATTCTACTTTTTAGTGCGTCTAAACCTGTCTTCGAAAGAAACAGTATAAGCCTATTTGCTATATATATTTCTTTATTTTTTTTTTTTAATTCGAATTTTCTGATCACATTCTAATTGCCAAAATGCCCTGTATAACTCCTTCGCCCATCACATCCCAAAATCCTACAGTTAGTACCACTGGTTATTGTAAGCAAAGGGAAGGGTCGTTGGTTTTTTAGTCACTTTTTCTTGTTTCTCCATTACTCACTTCCCCAAACGAAACCCCTTTCACGAGCCAGCATTCTGGAACTGGAACTCTGTGTCATGAAACTCAGATGCAACCTTACATGTTAACACGACGAAAACTGAATGGACCGAGCTAGAGGGTCATGTGTGTCAAGGAAAAAAAAGTATGCTACAATCTTGCGAAAGGACAAACAACATGGATTTGCGAGTCAAAAGAAAGTCTGTAAAAAAAAAAAATTAGTAAGCAAAGACTGATACAAAATATTCAAAAGGGCATACAATTTTATATTATTGGCTATTTACATTATAATTAATTAATTATAACTAAATATATTATTGACACCAGGGCAGTGAAGGATTTATCTATAAGCTAAATAGGCCACAGCTTGGGGCCTCACAACCTGCCGGCTATATATATATATATTTTTTTTTTTTAACTGACCAGATGATGTAATTTAAAACGGTAGGGTACTCTAGACTTTGTATAGGTTAGAGCCTCGGTAAGTCTAAGTCCTGCCCTGCACCGGGGCCGTGAAAAGAACATGTATGCATCTTGGCGCATGCCTGAAAAATAATGTCGCATCAAACGAAACGAAAGCGTTTATCCACGAAAGAGGTGCAAGTGAAAATGGGGGTGTCACATGACCTGGTTGAGTTGTTGTTTTTTTTTTTTGTTTTTTTTAAACTTCATTTTGAGTTGTTACTTAATTAGTAGTTTTAAAGATTAATTAATAATTTCCAGAAAACAAAAAAATTATGAGCCGTGTCTTTTAAACAATTATTTATCTTTAGTTTTGTTATCCTGTTCCCATAATGTATTTTTTAAACGTACCTCCCCCTACCCCTCACTCCCCCCCCCCCCATTAATTAGTAGTTTTAAAGATTAATTAATAATTTCCAGAAAACAAAAAAATTATGAGGCGTGTCTTTTAAACAATTATTTATCTTTAGTTTTGTTATCCTGTTCCCATAATGTATTTTTTAAACGTACCTCCCCCTACCCCTCACTCCCCCCCCCCACACACACACCTTACACGGACCGAAACCGTTTGGCATCACAAAATATTGTATTTTTTTAAAATCTAGAACATATTCTCAACATTTTATTGAAAGAAGCAGTAAGAATGGTATCTTTTTTATTGATATTGTTTTCCTATGCATGCGAAATTACAAAACAATTATCATGATAATTAAATGAACCATTTTACAACGGCCTCATTGTTTTTGTCCACTCGTATTTACATGAAAATGTTTAAATTGATGTTTTTTGTTTGGCACCTGGGGGCCAGCTGTCCCCCTTCGCCCCCCCCCCACCTTCACAGGCCTTGAGTGTGATAATGTTGTGGTGGCATCATCGACACTTGACACTTTTGGGAGAGGTCTTGGGAAAACTCCAATAGGTATATATGTCAAGTCGTACCGGATCTGACGTGTACTTACATTCGCTTATAAATTTTGCTTATGTAAAATGTGGAATCTTAAGAGACTTCTACTTCTGGATAATCCAGAGGACTGGCATTTGGTACGCAGCTTAAACTCCGGGCTTTTAATTGGTGCATCCTCAATTCGAAAATATTCCACGCACAGCGGGATTCGGCGAACAATGGTAAATTACCCCCCCCCCCCAAGGGGTAATGAAGGTTTAATAGACATAAATACAAATAATAATGTTCTAGTGGCACATTTCTTTTAACCAGGGTGAGGGGGGGGAGAAATAATCCTTATGTACAAGGTGACAACACCTCGTAGCATATCTTTTATTTAATATAATTGAACCATATTTTGTTTATCATTTACATTTGTATGTCAACAGCCAGGAGCTGGTGGAATAGCAACATCGTTTCCCCCAACCGTTGCACAGATGCCAGTATATGTATGCAGCAACGAACACTACCAGAACCAGAGAACCAAGTATTAAACTAATTAGGAATCACGTTCCTTATGTCCACCCTTATTCTCAACGACCTTAAGCTATTATGGATATAATTAAACACATTTTGATGTCAATATACCACATTGTACGCATTTTTATCTTTTTTTGGGCGTGTGTGTGTGTGTGGGGGGGGGGAGGGGCACGCTGTAGGCCTATTGCTTTTCGTCCTTCGCATGAAAAGATGACCAATGTTGGAGCAGTAGCCTTAACTTGAGCTGTATTTTATTTAAAGTGAGGGGGGGTTGCTCAATTTGTTACTCTCCCGTCCCAGCCTATTTGATACAATGGCAAGACTTAGTCCCCTGTTTGTTCTCAGCATGAATTAATGACTTATACCCGAGAAACTGACATCCCAATTAAGACTGTTCGCAGATGACACGGCGGTGCATAGGACGATCACCAACAGATCTGACCAGGACCAGCTCCAAGAGGATCTCAATCGGTTAGCTGAGTGGGAGATAAGCTGGGACATGGAATTTCATCCTGCCAAGTGCCATGAGACACTGTCAGTCTCTAGAAGTTGTACTCCTCTACACTTCCATTTTGAACTGCATGGCCATATACTCAAGCCAGTTTACTCTGTTAGGTACCTGAGGGTAACCATTCAAAGAGAGGTCCGCTGGGACGAGCATATTAACAATGTGTGCAGCCAGGCAAACAAACCCCTAGAGTTCTTAAGGCGTAATCTAAAGATCGGCAACTCCAGTGTGAAAGAAAGTGCCTTTAAAGCCTTTGTCCGACCGCTTTTAGATTATGCATCATCAGTCTGGGACCCATTTACCCAGAAGAGATTCGACAGGTTGGAGGTGGTTCAGCGACGGGCAGCAAGCTTTGTCCTGAACCGCTACAGGAATTCCTCAAGTTTTGGCAGCATGCTGGAAGCACTAGGCTGGTCACCATTGGAGGAACGATTATCCAGGCTCTCCATGATGCACAAGATAAATAATGGGCTGGTCCACTGCTCCAGCATCAAACAGAAACTCGTCCCTCTCCGCCTTAAGCAGCGACGAGGCCATGACAAGCAGTTGCGAGACATACCAGCAAGAAGCCAGAATAGGAACTGGTCATTCCTGCAAAATTCAATCAGGGACTGGAACAAGCTTCCAAAAAGGAACATTTGAAGCGACAACACTTGACACATTGGCGTCTGTTGCCTAAGGCCTTCCAACCCCCCAGTTCCTGATACCCTCGATGAGTAGCCTTTGCAACCAGTGAAGTATCCTCTTCAACACCAGGCACAGAAACATTGCAAAGCCCCTCAACAGAAATATTAGCCAGAAGGATCAATACATTGGTCGTGGGCCCTCAATGTATAGGACAAGAAGCTAAGCTATAATTGGTTTAAAATGTTCCAAATAGAGTTTTTTCAAAATTTCTGGATAACAAAAAAGCGATATCTGGAATGTTAAGAATATGTTTCCCAGGAGCACTGCAATTTCTGAAACATTAGATTGCATGACGTCAACTATACTCTGACTTAAACTTTATTTCATTTCGTTGCAGGAGGTCCGAAAATGTCATGCCCAAAAAAAAAAAAATGCCTCCCATGGCAAGCTACTCTCCCCCCCTCCTCTTCCTACGCTACTGATCGAACCACTAACATTAATTTAAAAAAAAAATTATATAAATATCACCCGGGCCACTAACAGAAATGACATCTGTAAATTATATGTAATCCTTAAAAGGAAAATGTATATGTTCCATTTCGTGTATTACTGACAGTATTTTCAAGATAGAATAAAATATATTAAAAAAACTTCGCTTGTATTTATGAGTCAGCTCAAATTTCGTGACATGCCGCGACAACATTAAATCTATATTCAAAAATAATAAATTAAACCACGCTACAGTGCAAACGACATAAAATGAGCCATGTTGAAATTATTATTTTTTTTACGTTCTCTGGGAACTTCCTGTTTGTGGATTAGAACCGCTTTCCCATTAAAAACCAACAATATGTGTTCTTTTTATTTATTTTTTTAAATTGTTCATTTCGTTATTTGAACATGGTGTACCCATGGCATGAATTATCATTGTTATTAGCATTATTATTTTGAGACTATTTGGTACTTGTTGTTGGGTTGTTTTTTTTTAATTGTGAGGTATGACGTCATGGACAACGTGAAAATCAATACTGTAATAGTGCAGTCAGACATGCCCACAAGTGCAACCATTCTGGAAATGCCAGGCAAAATACTAGACAACAATGAAACTTTTTTTCTTGTTTGTTTTGTTTCTCGTTTTTGCTTTGTTTTTTTTTTAACTTTTAAACGGTTAAACAACCACGT